CTTTCTTCATATTGACCAAGGTGTCCTTATCCCGGACTAATACGATAGCGACGGGATATGTTAAAGGTTTGTCCGTCTATTCCCAAGGCTAAGCATCTGATCCCACAAGTATTGTACCATTTCCGGAACAAGTATAGAAAATTCCATAATTTGCTCTTGTAATTATCACTAGGTGGTTGTTGTCATCCTCTCCTTTAAACGTGGCTTGGCTGGCTAGGTGAAGATCCGGGGAGAGGTTTTGTCCGTCGGGGACGTGAAGCGCCGCAGGAGGCACAGCTTTACCTATTATTAAGACTCAAGTTAATTAATAATTAGATTCTGCCAAGTATTTTTGATATTTGGACGTTTTGGATTTGATCCTATTGTTCTGAACAAGAAATATCTTTGTTCATTGGATATTGCGATGTTATGAAGTATCACTTGATCATATTGAACTGTTGGTGTTCTAAAGGTAAAATATCTTATTATCCCGAAAAGAAGCTATAAAGAGTGATTTAACCCCACTTTTGTTTCTGTCTTAGCACTTTCTCTAGTCCTTCCCTTTCCCTTTCCCAAGGGCGTTTGACGTCTAAAACTTCCTGTCGGTTGAAGCCCGGTGATATACTTTGGTACTTGCAATTTATCTTGGGGCGAATTGTACCTAAGTTACCTACAACTAATAAATTCTTGGGAGAGTTCTGTAATCGCCAAATGTTCTCGAGTTCCCAATACTAGCAACGTCACGTCAAGTCTTTTCCCCGATGCTCATACGGTGACACTGATCTCTAGCTTGCCTACTACTGGCTAGATGGGCAGGCCTCCGCGACGATGCGGGAATTCATGGATTACATCCAGTCGGTCTTTTATGCTGCAACAGGCTGGAACCGTGATAATAGCTATTCTTCGCTCAATGCGACGTCCGATGCCCTTCTGAACTTTCCGACGCCTCGTGGTCTTCGCCTAACCCTATCATCTCTCGCAACATCTCAATTCGCTACTTCGTACCAGCTCGGTACCGTGGGTATTGTCGACGGCTCTGTATCATACTTATACTCAACGGTGCCTCTCAATAATGCTATCGCCCAGAGTGAGAAGATACCCCTACCAGATCTTTTGCGAAGTTACCGCCCACTTGCCGAGTTACCTCGCCGAACTGAGGAAGGAGGTCAACCAGAGGGAGGGTTGATCAAAGACGGACTTGCGTATGGGAGACTTTATCTCCCTGCGTCTATGTTGGAGGCCCTGGTGGTTAGGAGGATTTCGCGTACGTTACAATTCCAGCTGAGCGCTGTGTCGGATCAAAAACTACGGAATGGAGGTACTATGCTGGGCATGGTACAATACGACAAGGGTCGCTATGCGGTTGAGGGTCTCGCATCAACCGACGGCGGTTTGCTTGGAGCGCGCGCGTTATACAATTTCGGCGGCGATGTGGCTCACTTGGATACACAAACGCAACCAGCGACTACTAATGGGAACGGAACGGGTAACGGCGAGAGAGAGCGCATTTTCGGCCGGTTCAGCACTGGTGCCGAGTTCTACTACGGTACGCTAAACAAGTCAGGAGGGATGAGCGTTGGAACGCGATTTGCGACGCTGCCTACGCACAAAGGTACTCCCCTCACTGCGACAATGACGGTTAACCCCTTGATGGGAACTATTAGTTGGAGCTACGCAGTCATGGCTGGTAGCTATTGTTCACTTGCATCGAGGATGGATTTCAATGTTTACAGTTATGAAAGTGACTGGGCTGTGGGTATGGAGCTCTGGAGAAAGAGAACGGCCTGGTCTATCAACCAAGAATTGGAAGAAGTACCAACGCCAGTGAACATCACGCCCGAGAGGGGTTTCCAGGAGAAATTGGAATGGGAGTTAGATGGCCCTCCGTTACCCTTGGACACGGCTGAGATTCTGCCACCACCGGAACTAGTCGCTCAGCCAAAGAAGGAGGAGAGAAGCTTCCAAGCTAAGATGGAGTGGAGGCTAGACGATCACGATGTGGATTCGACAGTATCAACCACCAATGCAGTATCAACCACCAATGAGAATGATGATGAGAATGATGATCAGTATTCGGGCGTTTTGAAGGCGCGCCTAGACCAGCATCTCAGGGTTGGTCTTTTATGGGAGGGCCGAGTCAAGTCTTTACTTTTTAGTCTTGGCAGTAGTATTGACCTACGGCGACTTGACTCGCCTTTCCGCACACTTGGACTCGAAGTACAATTCTCGGCATAAAGATGCCAATAAGATAAGCCCAGACCCTCCAAAATGGCTTTCGTGGCGATTAATCAGCGCGTCTGTATTGCTGTTCAACCCGAATGTGCGATATCATTGCTTGACGATGGATTGGTGGCACGGTCGCAATTACGCCCCTGATAGTACGCCCAACCAATCTCAGGGGCCGACGCATATTGACAGCATCCTTCCCGAGGCATTCTTCCTGTACGAGGGACCTATGCTATGGTCGCATCGATGGAAGAAGATTTGCAACAATGAAAAGAGATGCGGATTATATGTCAATTTTCGGGCCATGATACCTCTCTCGGTGACCCCGGGGTTAAAATACCTTGATGTCTACCTACCTAGGTATGTAGGCTAATTCGACTGGGCCCCCGATGCGTCCCTGAAGGCCTCCGATGCGTTCTTAACTAACGAACACCCTTGTTGTTGCATGCAGTGATGCGACCCAGGAGACCGGATAGTCTAATTGGAATATCTCCATAGATACTCGAACCACATGTGGTGTCGCTTTAGCATCTCGCAACTCGGCACGCCACTATGCTGTCGCAAGGATAACTACCTGCCTGCTGTATGTAGTCATGGGTTTGAGCTCCCTTTGCTACCATTGACGGCTTTGCCCTGCGCCGAGAAAGGGGCCGTCTTGGAAGAAGCTTGTTGAGAGAGGCAACTGGGTCTAAGCTATATTGACCTAATCTCTCCGCATGTTGTGGTGCAACACGAGCTCTCTAGGATTTACTGTGCCTTGGCTTTGCTTCCTGTATGCTAAGAACAAAATTAGTGTATCATAGGTTTGATATGACTCTTGATCATGACTAGATGCTAGCTTAATCGACTAGAAAATGCCATGTAAATAGCAAACTCTGCACCATAGTACTTGAAGAGATGAGATAGAAAGATTAAAGTTCAGGAGACCGTATCATTTTACTTCTTCAGCTATGATAAGGCGTTGATTCATGACGTGCTGTAAGTTTTGATAATCAACTTAAGACGGGGTTAGGTTAGGGGGTAGGTACTCGTGTACAATGATTGATATGCAAAGTTGAAGTTCAGCTGTGGGGTACGTACTGGAGGCTGAGAACCTTGATGGCCAGCGGAGATAGGATCTCGGCATGAGAACCCTGATGGACAGGCTAATACACGGGATCCTCTAAAAATGCCTAGTAGCGGTACCAACCGACGTATCACGAGCCGCAAATCTGGAAAGGGCTTAGTCATGACCTGTATACTTGTACCTAATTGGACGACATAGTACAATGCAGACAATGTACCCAATGAATTAAAAGGGTCTTTAGTATGGGAACCCATTTAATGAAAGAAATACCGCCGAAGAACACTGGATCTTGGGGGTTGGGACAAAGTAGATTTTTCATCTGGTTTCTGCTTTGTGTTGGCACAGAATAAGCCTTGAGCTTTTTGGTAGAAATGCAAGGCTTAATATATCGGCTATCAGCCCTGTCAGATGACGTTAGGTACCTAGGTATGTTACGAGAATACTACACATCCTCCCGGGCAAAGGTTGGTTTTGCCTTTTATCACGGCCCGTACTCATGGTGGTACGCTACCTGACGTAGGGCGCTTTAGTCCGAGTGGTAATGAAGGTTTTGACAGTATGAAACAGGAATAAGTCTAAAAAGGATATCTGCATCAGTGCATACAGAAAAAAAAAGTTTATTTCCTACAACCCAGATAGTCTAATACCTGGAATTTACATCTCATTTCTTAAGTGATGTTTGTATGTACTTAGCTAAGCCCATACCGAGCACCACGCGCATCACCGACCAATAGATCTAACTGACCCGTTAGACCCACTCCATATCTAGAGCTTTCTTTCCCTAAAATGGCTTACTCGCCCGACGGTACGTACCTGTCTAAGTCAGTCTAACGTAGAAACCCACCTGTCGGTTCTGCTGACATTTATAAGGTATCAACTTTGTGCGGTGCCAAACTCGGCCGTTGACCATCAAGGTTCTCATTTTTCCATGATAATGATACTTCCCGCCGTTTGCCTTTTCCTAAATCTCTCGTCGCCCGCCCTTGCTTGCCCACATAATATGCCCAACTAAGCTTGCGAAGTACTTTGTAAATAGAGGAGCTGAACTAATAAACGTCGTACCTACATGATAAATTTGAAGGATGTTATGTCATTCCATCCCATCCCATCAAAACCTATCAATAGACAAGGAGGGTTATACCCATACGTAATTTTCGTGATCATCCACACGGGACGTTGTTCACACTCTATTTCTATTCAGCTAACCCTGAAAGTTGTCGCACTCCTCATTCCAATCACCCTACGCTGCTAACGATCACTTGTCCACGCGGATTGGCGTCTCATCTGCTCGTTGAACGAGGACAATACTATCTCCCAGGTGGTCTTTCTATACAACCTTTCATTTACGGTACGCGATAGTACACTCCCTAGAAAATCTACGAAAATCAAGCGAGGACGTCTACTTGGATCACACTCTATAAGATCGCGCAGTTTCTAGGAGTAGTATCGTCGAGACCTTCTAGAATATCCCGGAACACAAGCATCAACCAATAAGGAGACGTATATGTTGCGCTGATAGGACGCGCATATTGTTAACTCAAAATTGCGCATTGATTGTCATCAGCGCTGTTGCCTTTCTCCGATACCATAAACTCTATCGTCTGTATTTATAGGTACTTATACGCGCCTGGAGCACGAAAAACGAAAAAAAAAAAAGAGGACCGACTCTATTCACCGAACTGACGCCGTATTCTGACAAGTCCTGAGGTTCTTCTGGCTTGAAACGACAGGATACGAAGTATTTCCCAATAGGTAGGGTCCATTTCCTTCTCGTCAATTTTGGCACGCCGTTCTGCTAGTTATATGCTTTGCTTTACGATCTGGTAAAAACCCCTGGAACGGATACGTAAAATATTTCAAAGCTTGCTGGCGTGCATAGGCCATCAAGGTCCTCCTCCTGCACTAGACCTTGGACCCTAACAGCCTCTAAGCTCTTTGAAATTTCTTCACCTTGGATATACAACCCTATTGTTGTTCTTTTTGTTGTTCTTTGGTCTTAATTCACTTCAAAGAAGTCGTTGTACCTTGCTGGACACTCCCTATCTTATTATATTTTCACCCCTCTCCCTTGCCTTTGCAGCTGCAGAAAAGCAATTCATTACCTGCATCATCCTGCTAACCTAGTCCTCAGCCTCAGAACTTTGCGAATATCAAGCTGGTGTATATATCATCATTGCCCTCTTTCGTTGATCTTTTTCTGACAGCTAGTTAGAGATAGGTTCACTCCTAGAGGGTCATCGGGATCACTATATCTTTACCCCCTGAGCTATATCTTGGCATTAGCCTTACTAGGCATTGCCCTTTTCTAAGATATAGAGACATATATTCTCTATATTTTGACGACAAAATCTTTCAAGATGTCGGTGTTACATACAGCTCTAGATGCTGTACTTCGTATACGGCAGGAGGACGGTTCTTCCGATGCGGCCCCTGAATCCGGCTTCACCGTCGAGGTCGACTGCGGCACTGGTAACGAATACGATGGCCGAATGGGAGTGCGCATATCCTCTATCTTCGTTATCTTGGTTGGTTCGCTACTCGGTGCTGTCTTGCCCGTCTTCTTAGCCCGCGGTGCGAAAGTGAGGGTGAACGGAGCGGCATTCTTCATCGCGAAATATTTCGGCTCGGGTGTCATCATCGGAACAGCATTCATGCATCTTCTCTCTCCGGCATTCGAAGCTTTAAAATCCCCGTGTCTTCCGGATGGTCCTATTAACGACTACGACTGGGCGGCTGGAATTTGTTTAATGACGGTCTTCGTCATGTTTACCATCGAACTTATTGCGAGTCGCTTTGACTTCTTCGGCCATGACCATCATGACGCGAAGGTTGTCGACCCGTCCCTGGATATTCTTAAGAAGGGAAGCCAGGTCTCGCCGTCACCAATCCAAGACCTCGAAGCTGGCTCATCAAACAAGGAGAACAAAACTGGGAACGCAACCGAGAATGGCTCAGCTTTACCTACAGACCTTAGCTATCCTCCTGGTGGCGAAGATCATCTAGGCCACCAACGTGAACACCACGATAACGAAAGCCATTCTGCTTTCGCCGCGCAAATGACGGCGCTTTTCATCCTCGAGTTCGGTGTCGTATTCCACAGTATCTTCATTGGCTTGACACTTGCAGTTGCCGGTGAAGAATTCACGGTTCTATATATCGTGCTCGTCTTCCATCAGACATTCGAAGGTCTCGGTCTTGGGTCGCGGTTGGCTACGGCACAGTGGCCCAGCTCTAAGGCATGGATGCCATATGCATTAGCGTTTGGCTATGCCCTCAGCACCCCGATATCTATTGCCATCGGCCTTGGAGTTCGATCAACTCTTCAGCCGGGCAGCCCGAAAAGCTTGGTCATCAACGGTATATTCGACTCTATCAGTGCCGGTATTCTTATCTACACGGGTCTCGTCGAGTTACTCGCCCACGAGTTCATGTTTAACTCATACATGCGCAATGCGGGACTAAAGGTTCAGCTCTACGCGCTAGGATGCGTCGCACTGGGCTGCGGGCTGATGGCCGTGCTTGCGGAATGGGCTTAAGATTGGTCCGGAAGTCCGGAGGCTTTAGTTAGTGGGAGAGAGAGGATATTAACGACAGTTCCGCCACGCTATAGGCCTTATGCCTGTGCCTTGTCACACCTTCACACACTAGACGTCCCAAGTCTATCGGACTCAAATGAGCTATCAACTCTACAAATGTACATAGGAACTTTTCATGTTGATGTACAACTTACATATTGTACTGACAATAAATGTAAAAATGGCACTGAATCGCCAATAAAATTAATACAATATTGACGAAAGGCATAGTTTTCTTATAGTATCTACCTAAATCCGTGAGCTCCCGTATATGTATTTCGTAAACTATTTCCTTGATAGATGACCCCTATTGAGCACTCCTCCGTGCCTATAAACCCCCAAGCTAAATCTCCGAAGACAGCAAACAGTAATGACAACTTCTGACATTTATTTTCGTCTCTTACACACACAAACATATTCCCCCGCGCACGCCACAATAAGACGTGTCAAATCAACATCTCGTACTCTTATCTACTACACCATCTTCTATCAGAAAAAGCAATAGCTCGGCACCCGGACCTTATGTATATATTGGTCATACTATAGGGTCTGCTAGTTGCTAACCTATCACATCTGGTAAATTACATACATTGGCGGTTTGGAATTTATTTGCTAATTATAATCGAGGCGTCCTTGCCTATAGGTTACGTGTGCAGCTACGATGCGCCTTAAGTGCCCAGGTACGTGTTTCCAACGGTCATAGCAGGTCCGCAATATGTTCTTGCCCTCCTGAAGTACATACCTACCTAGGTTATATCGAGCCACATAAACGCACCTTCCTATATACCACCAGCTACATACTGGACTTTACCTAACGCTGCTGCCTATAAATCCCCCCCCGCCATCATTTCTGACTATCCAAATCTCTCCGCCTCACCTACTCCTTTCTCTATCCTCCACGTGCCCGTTAGTTTAACCTGGTGATCAACTAACACTTCTAACATTTCATCTCAGCCTCGTAATTACCAATACCCTTTTCACGCCTCTTTGACGCTCTTATATGGTCATTGCGTGAACCCGATTGTGACAACTCTCTGCCCAACGTTGAAGATATTGCGATCCTAGAACCAATACACCATCGTCAACAACTCGAACTTGAGTTTCTCGCCTTGAAACTGCGCACCTCGTTCGAAGCTGTTTATTATTGAGTCTTTTTTAATTTAGGCTTGAGAAGCCGGTTTTATTTCCTTATTTTTAACCAGAATTCCCTAGTTAGCTTTTGGATCTTTAACGTCCGTCTCTTCCTGACTCATATACCTATTCCAATCTGACGCCACCCCCTCCCCCTCCATTATCCCCTCTTCTTATAGTCAGGTGATATGGAGGGAAACAACTACATCGTGGTCGCGGATCTCGGCCTCAAGCCAATCCACCTGGCTTGTCTCCAGGGCGACTTTGAAGGGGTCATCAAGTTGGTTTCACAATCTGAAGATATCATTGAAACGATCACGGAGCCGAAAATTGGTACGGAATGGGGACTTCGTGAAACACCTATGTGAGTCTCTATCTCTAGAGTTTCCTTGTCCGTTATCACTCCTACTATCTTTCGCTATCATATGCGTCCGGGCAGAGGAATACCAACTAAATGTGTTACAGCAAGCTCGCTGCCCTCATGGGACATCTCGACATAATCGAGTTCTTTATCCAGAAAGGCGTCAACTTAGTGTCCGACGGTCTATATGCCTCGTCATATACTAAAGATGAAGGTTTCGCAGTGCGTAGACGAAAATTCTTTCTTGAGACGGCTAGAATAGGACGTGAGCATCTCGATGCTCATAATACACGCAAGGTCATCTACGATCTTCTGACTTCCCAAGGCCGCCGAAGCGTTCTTAAATCAAGTGAGTAAAAAAGCAAATTTGCTATCTAGGTTGCTTGAAGAATTAATGACTGATGAATTGTTATAGTGAGAGGCCTGAGGGCTGACATAGGTTTCCCTGATTATAAATTGGCAAAGCAAGGAAGCCAGATTGTTGTATATGCTCCGGTCTATCGAGTAAAAACCGACATCCCTCTGGACAGAAGCAAGACTATTGGTCTTATCACAGCTAAGGGTAACAGCGAAGTCCTGATGACCGCTCATAGTGGTTATAAGCCTGGAGGCGACCGTGATGAGAAATGCCTCGACACGAATAAGTGGAATTATATTGCCCTTCATCACATTGCTGCCCTACTCAAGTTTCACTTCCCCGGAAATCAGCGTGACAATGGGAACAAACCCGCCGAAGACGAACATCGAGGCCGTGCACACGCCGGACACGTTGAAGTTCTACTCGCGGCATGGTATGCGCTTGAGATGACCCGAAAGTCAAGCGGGAATCTAGAGGCAGACGAGGATTGGCTTCTTGCCAATATGCATATGCTGAAGCATGCGACACTTGGCAATGCGCGTTCGGCCGTGATCATGATCGATTCACAGCCATGTGCTACATGCCTGAAATTCATCAATAGAATTTTCCAGTATACGGGCGTACACTTTTCCGTTAGAGGCGCGATTGGTATTGGCCCGACCCTTGCAACAAAGGACAAGAGAAGCGGCGCAAGATGCGATACCTTCGGCGACACATTTCCAGAATCTGATGGTGAAGAGTCTGCTGTCGTGGAGGACGTGGTTCAGGGTTTAGGTGGCGTTACCGCAGATACAGCGTGCCAACCATTCATGGGGATGTCAATGGAGAGACAAGGATTGTCTCCCATCCTCAACAACGATGCTGATATTATTATTCCTGCTACGAACCCCGCCACCGCCATGGAGCGAGCTATGCCTATCACACCCGCCCGACCGAGGATGCAATGGCCTATACCTGAACACAGATCACGCTTCTTCGAAGATCCATTCTCTGACATACCGTCTCGCCGACCACCAAATCATTTCGAAATCTTAGCTGAATATAAGAAGAAGACGCCGGTATACGAGTTCCCTGGGTATGAGGCTATTATGACGGACCGTCATCCGCGCCAGCAGCAACCGCTTGCGAAGCCTTTCATTCTCCCATCGGGAAATCGAAGGCCGTCTTCTGCGGTAGAGGAAGATGCTGTACTCATTGATGTGGTAGATGATAGCGATACTGTTATGTGTTCATCCACAAGCAGCGATAACGAGTCGACTCTTCGACATTCTGTGGTCATTGTCGGTGCCGGAAAAAAGGATAGCGATAGCAGCACCCTTCGACCTAATGAAGCGAACTTTTTGTACTCTAGTTTTGAGCCGATTGCCGCCCGCAAGAATGGTAGTATTTCGAAGGGAGAGAATCAAAGAGATCTAGGACGCCATGCTAACGTCCACTCGGAAAGCGACGACGAAGATGATTACTACTACGTGCCAAGACAATTGTCTCAACGATCTCGTCCTAACGACGAGGATAGTCTCGTTAAGGAACAGCAAAAAGAGAGAGAGATAACTCCGTGTCCGGTCTCTGGACTAGCCAAACTTCAGCAGTGGCGTTACCAGCCGCAACAACGAGTCCGCCGTCAACTATTGCAGCCATGGCATCGCGAAGGGCAGACGATTCAGCATCATATATACCCTAACAACCCTGTTCCAGAACCGGTTTGTTTTGACTCTGTTCTCACTGAGGAAGTTTATAGAGAGAAGCGTGAACAGACACATGGGAGTAAGGGTTAAGACCCCGCTCTATCGCTTCTGTGAGCGCTTGATAGAATCCGAGCAAAACTTGGAGATGCTTTAACTGGCTTGCTTGTAGCTTATGAAATAATAATCATGAGCAAACTACGAATGGTCTACGAAGGAAAGGTTCTAGTTTTTGAAAGTAATTCGATGCATTCGAAGGGAAAAAGCACGAAGGACGAAGGACGACCGAAAGGAAGCAATGTATGATGTGGTGATAGGAGGACACGCTATGCTGATCTCACACTTGCTGGACATGTTGGAATTTCGCAGTTAGAATCTGGCTATTGCAGTCATTTAGTCATTTCTATGTTCCTTAGCCCCACCCAGCTATATTGCTCTTAAATAACTCAAAACGTAATAAAAAACATGGCAGTCACGCGTATTAGAGACGAATAATGTGCCATGGGGAAGTGCGAAAGCGAAGTTCGCCAAATCAATTCATTCAGCCATTTTCAGACGCCGTGCCCATAGACCTTTGCTACCTAGACCGTAGTAGTAGAATCATTCCCGCATGGTATCAACATTTATTCCTCATCCTCTTCCTCCTCCTCGGCCTCAGCAGTAGTCTGGGCAATTCCTATAGGCAGTCAGTATCTTCTTATCTCGAGCAAGAACGTAGTGGTTGACTTACGGTCCAGATCTCGCTGGCCGGACTGGGTGATGCGTCGGCCACCCTGTTCCTCATCCTGCTCGAGGACACCGATCTTCTCAAGGGCCTGGAGGATCTTGCGGTCGACAGAGCCGGAGCCGTCGACGTGCTTGGAGGGGCGGGTGCCGCGGTTCTTGGCGGTGCCGTGGACCTTGCGGAGACGGCCGACACCGACGGTCTTGCGTAGGTAGACGTGGCGGGCGACGCTGGCGGCGCGCACGTAGAACCAGTCGATGTTCTGGGGGGGAAGCTCGCGCGAGGGACCGGTCTTGACGGTGTCGACCCAACCTGGGGGGTCGCGTTAGCTAAGATAGTTTGGCGAAGGGGAAGAAAAGAAAAGAAAAGAAAAGAGTAGACATACCGGGAATGGGCAGCTTGCCCTGTCGCTTCAAGAAGCTAGCGTACGCGTCGATGAACTTCTGCGCCTATAGTGTGGGGGACCCAAAAACCCATCAGCAAATATTCCGTCATCAGAAGTCTTGCGACCCCCTCGCGCCTGCTCCCGACGGCAATGAAACGAGATTTTTGTGGTTTTCTCATATCCTGTTGCGTCTGGCAATTGTATTTTTGTTTTTTTGGGTCTCATGCTATTGTATGTAGCATTTGCCGTGATGTTTTGATTTGCAGCGCCTGTTGGAGAGGCGCGAGGAGGAGGAGGATGAGGAATTGCGATCCGCTTCCGCTCACGGCGGGCAGAGCGATTTGTGAAAGGTGGAGGAACCTACATCGACATCGCGAACGGAGACTCCGCCGGTCATTTTTGCGGTATTGAAATTTGGGGGGGGGAGGGGAGGATTTTGTCGGAGATATTGGTTGGTCGACTGGGTGTCGTGAGGTTTTTGGCGTTTCGCGCAAGAAGTTGGCTGTGTGCGGAGGAGAGGTGTGGTTTGGAAACTTTTTTTGGGTGAAATTGTCGAGTTGGTGGTTGTTGGAGAGCGTAGCGGGTGAGTGTGGGGCGGTTGGAAAGTCTTGGCGGAGATTAGGGCTTGCCCTCTTGTTTAAGGCGAGTGTCGAGATTACCTAAGTGAGCTGTAAGAAATATGGGGCTGTGTCGTAGGTACCTTAACATGTGGGGGTTTGCTGATGTAAGTTCAACATTGCCCCTTTCTCAACCCCTATCAGCGAGTTCAAAGCATCCATCAGGTTGCTATCGCCTAGGTGGAATTCGGGAAAGTTGACGTATGATCCAGAAATCTATATCTTTATCTGAACGAGCATACCAAAGAGACTTCAAACACTGTTGTTGGCCAAGCAGAAGCTACAGCCCCCTCCCTTTTACTAGTACTATACATAAGGGCATCTCCAAGGTATGATTCAGCCACTGGGTCCCAAGTTGAACGCATTAGATACGCCGCAGTTGATGATGGGGAATTGAATATCGAGTCGTTGTCGCCCTTCTGACACTTCATCTTGTCAAAGTCAATACGTCCAATCAATGCTTCAAAGGAGTGATGAAGGGTCGACGGTGCTTCGTACACCTATAATATTCTAGTTCAACGGATTATCTTATGAAAATCTCCTTGTCTTTTAAGATTCAATATGTAAATTTAGCGTCTCAAATTGACTGCACGTATTGCGCGAATATTAGCTACGCCGAACGAATTCAAATTAAATTTCATTTTTAAAAAAGGGGGTTTGAGCTTTGGATGAGATCCGTGTAAGTGCGGATTCTGCTTTCTGACTCTTGAGCATTATATCTTCATTATAAGGCGACTCTTCTAGATGTTTAATCAACGCCAAAGGGCAGTGGCCGTATTCAAGATGCCGTCTATTTCCGATGCGTAAGACACCTGGGCACCATCTGGCGTTTGGTTCCGGAGTATGAAACTGAAGCATTTGGGAAGTCACCATCTTTTTGAATCACCAGGCTTCTGTATCGTAGATAACCAAGCAGTGTCGTAAATAGATGATGACATGAAGCCATGTGCTTTGCCCGCCGTACAATATGCTGCGACTTAGGCAAGCAGCGATTGAGACTGACTGTATAATGAAATATCCATAGTTATTACTCGGATGATGGGGATCAGTACTAGAGTGAGATTGAACAAGTCTATATTATTCAACTATATACGAGAACACCCGTTTATATGAAGTTCTATGAAATTTGTATTGTAGGGTAAAAGGGGCTGCTAGCACCGCGAAGATTACTTATCTCCCCATACTCCCATGCCACTATATCTAGGTATAGCTACCTGTATATATCTCAGTTAGCAGGGCTTGAACCTTCCAGGTCGGATAGGGGTTGAGGTCTCACATTTGATGCCCCATTTGCCGCCAACATACATCATAAGGAGAGAAGACACTGTTATTGAACCCAAATTGATTTCCTTAGCATCCACCCACATTATTAGCCCTCCAAACATCATCATTCCCAATTGCGATGGAGGTTCTGAGGAAGGATCCGCCACCACCGATTAGTGTACTAATGCCCATTCCTGCCAGTATGACAACGTGCTGCTCGGATATTTTACCCACACTCGATACCAACCCACCACTATTAGAGGCAATATCAGTAAGCCAATTGCTCCAGTGAGCCCGTTCGCCGGCGTCGGTCACTATCGATAGAATTAGGCAAACGCAGTTCACAACAAATCCAAGAAGATCGTTCGCCTTCTTCGGTAATATGTCGAGAACTAGATTGTAGATGCCCGGTACAATCCAAGCGACCCAGCGACAACAGTATGCCCACCACTCTTGCTCGTCCTTGGGAACGGGCATGGAGAACAGGATTTTCATGTTCGCGAGTCTTTTACATAGCGTCGAGAGCGAAAGACTGGTCACTAAAGGGAAGAATGACAGACAAGGTTAGCATTGGTTCCTTCGTATCGGCTGATGGATGGATGGACTGACTAGTCCTCACTGAGACTTACTTTTTACAGGCCTCACACCTTCTGGGGCCACGGAAAACAGCCATGATAGATTGGCGCCAACTGCACATACAGGAGAGACCACGCCCTGGAGATAGGAGATGATCCGTAATGCTTTCGGGCATCTGAAGCTTTGCTGGTTCAACGTTGTACCATCCGTACCTCCTGGGACGAATGCTTTATCAGAGAAGGTGTTTTCTGTTGTACTTGCTGTTGCTAGGGCTGGATTGAGGCTCTTGAAAACATCTGCTAAGGCTTCCGGGGCCTTGTCGAGTTTAATGCCTTCGCACCACTGGTCCGGCGTGCTTCCGGTCGCAATCTTGGCTACTGTTGTAGCTGGAATCGCAGCGATGAGAGAGGCGAGATTCAAAATCGTCATCGGCTCTTTCTCGCCCATCAATCCACAGACGAATTCGTAGAGTGCGCTGAAAATAGGCGCGTTGATCGTCTTTTCCATCTCCGATTGCAGGTCCACTATCATGTCCTCGACTAGTTTGAGCACGCCGTCGATGAACGCAGCAAGCCCCGAGATGATAATATCGGCGAAGTCTACGCAAACTCGCTGTAGATCCGCGATCGTTCCATTCGTGAGAAGAGCCACGAGGTCTGTCCCGGTTTGCTTGAGCTTCTCTTCAATGGTTCCCCAAACTGGCTTGAGGACATCTTCGAAAAGCTGGACGATAGGATCATTGGAATCAAAATCTTGCGGTTCGTTGGTTATCTCGTCTTCCTTATTCAACGGTGCGGCATGGCGTAAATGATAAGTTGCCATGTTGATGGCTGGTGTCATCTCCGAAATGTTATGCATCCCATCGTCTTTCTCTGTAGCTGTTTGCTTCATTGACGAGATCGTCTGGCTACTGAACTCAGGGGGAAGTGATAAATTCTTTATATCCTTTCCGATGGTTGCGAAGATCGACTTGACCTCGGCTCTGGTGCTCTCAATGAGAGTTGCGGCTTCAGCCACGCCGTAGTCTAGAAAGCCTGTTCCAATGACTGAATTAGTGACAAGTGAAAGACAAAACGATGAACCCAGAACCCAGAATTATCCATATACAATTAAACTTACTTTTGCTGGTCTCGGCAATGACTTTATGTGTAGCCCATATGTGATCCCATCCTAGCAAGTGTCCGAACCAGGCGAGAACCTGAAAAGTCAGTCAGCATAATTTGTTGGTTTTAAGTACAATAAAATGAAAGCGTAGCACCTTATCTAGGTCAATTCCGACGAGCTTTAGAAGGAAGTTCAACCCTTTGTAAATAGTGACCAAGGTATCCAAGACAAGTCGGAGGATTTTATCTCCTATATGGAGCACGAACTCGAATGCATCCCCAACCTTCGAGATGATGAATTTCACCCCGTTTGCGAGTTTGACAACGCCGTCTTCGACGAACTTGACGATATCGTGAAAGGTATTCTCTATCCAGTGCCAGATGTCGCCAATTACCTCGCCCCACGATTCGATCCGGAACGGCGTGTCTCGCTTCACTTCCTCGATCTCCTCGTCGCTGAATACTGCCCAAGATCCATCCTTCGTTCCGAGTCCCAGGGAAAACCCGTCAGGGATCGTGGAAAGCGAGACGGTTGCGCGTAGGTCATGTTTGATCGCCACTCCCGTCACATCGTTGGGCGTCTCCACGGCCGTGAAGATGTTTCCGTATTTGTGCGGAGGAAAGCTGTCACCGACAGATCCGCGGATCATCGAAAGCGACCGCGCAATCCCGTCGGATACATCTTCAGATATTTCACTCGGGAGTACTGACTTGCCATCCTGAGTCCGTGCTGCTCTCAGTGATGCCCCGTCAGTTATGCCAAGAAGATGGTGGTGTATTTTTCCATTGGGGAAAATGCTCAGAGTCTCGTTGAAAGCGTCGCCTAGTGATAAATCGAGTTAGCATCGGAATGAAACGCATCAAATGAGAAAAAAGAATATGGTTGGTCCTACTAGCAATATGAATCACGGCTGGAGCGACGTCGGAAGCAGTGCTTATGATGGTGATATCACCGAACTCGTCAGTCTCAACCTCCGCGGGCACATGATTGTCTAGAGAATAAACAAGGCCGTTAACCGTGGCATACTGCCATTCGCTTGACGTGATCTTAACCTTGGCGCGTACAGGAGCTCCGGACAGGTCACCGAGGTGAAACAGGGTCGTGAACGAATTAAAATTGACAACGTAGTCGCTCTGGCCGACTCTGGCAGTCTTGTGATTCCAGAGGGTTGAGGACGGATCTTGCCAGTAATGTGTGACGGTAAGCTCCGTGTCCAAGGTAAATATCTCGTTACTGCTCGGGCCATTATCTGACTTGACGACGCGAAGAGGCGCCACGTGAAGTACGTTTTTGGCGAAAAGGATAGGTTCATTCCACTTCACGACATGTCCTTCCTGACGCTCTCCACGGACTAGATATAGAGAACTTGGCGAAGCCTCTACCCAGAGAGACATCTCACCTGAGTCTTCCTTGGCTATCTTGACCTGGCGTACGTCCTTGATAGAGCCTGTAACTTGTTCCATGAGGTCGGCTCTTCCGTTTGGAATGCGGTAAAGCCCGGTAGCTGCCCCAACGTATATATCGGAACTTGGATTTCTCACCTCAGCCCGTGAAGTTGATACGACAATGCTACTATATGCCAAGTGGCGATACGCCTCAGGCAAGTGTGAATTTCCTGGGCTGTAGTCATAGGATAAGGACCCCTGTTTGTCATCACCAATTGTCTTAGCAATTAAAGACACCGACTCTCCCAGCTTGTAGAGAAAATAGTTCGCTCGCTGGCTGAAGTTGAATCCCATCTGAAGTCCAAATAGACCATTCTCATCCACATCTAACCCTTCGGGGAATTCAACCCTGAACGCAACGTTGGTATCACTATTCACCTGGTAGTAATGTCGTGAACCATGCGCATCTCCGACAACAACAATCTGAGGGTCACAATCATCGTCGGATGATCCCACCAGTATGTGGCGTCCTATGAAATTCTTATCGAGGCCGTCAACTTTAGTTGCCAAGGACGATAACTTGGAAAAATCCGTTTCCGCTACGTTGTTGGGCATCGTGCTGACAAAAAACACATCGGTCCCCGTCGAATCCTCTCTCTGGAGTATGAAAGCAAGCGAAATGCGACCTTTCGTGTCCTGAGTCACGTCGAATTGAACAGCGCGAGAGTAGTTACGGAAAGAGTCCAGCAAATTCGCGGAGGACCAGCCATCCAGATTTTCTCCCGACGTGCTTCGGAGCATCTGGAAGCTTCCCTCAGAGCCAATAGTGAATATCAAAGGGTTTCCGACGCTATCTTTAACAACATCAAATGTCGAGGAGGGAGCAACTATATAGTCATAATTAATAAGATCACTTTCAGCTGGGAGACCTGGGGGTTGCATACCTGGCATAGCTTGTTGTATATTGGACATTAGTTCTGATGACACGGTTGCTTTCAAACCATTGCTATGTTGTGCCGTCGCAGCATTGAGCGTTATTACGTCAACCATGGGGGCAGCTAACGGTGACGGGTTCATCGCAATATCCTGGGGCCCGTTTCCAGTCATATCAAACAGTCGAGTCTTTTTTACTATCGCTGCGGCCTCACAGAGATGCTCGATATTCGGGATCGAGATGATGCGTGAACATGGCGTTTGTTCGTATTGGTATTTGACCTCTGTGGCGGTTGAATATAAGGAAGGCTCGCTAGTAAGATGATAAGTCTCGGTCTTGTAGGTCAGTTGTACACTGAAGTCTCCGTCACTGTCGATCGTAGGTTTCTGTCTCAGGGGGTGGGTATTAGCACTGCATTAACATAGACTATTATCGCTCATGGGAATCAAACAGCTTCGCAATCATACCTTGGAGAAAAAGACCTGGCCAGCAGGCAGCATAAAAGTACTGTTGATGTTGGAATCCAGACCACCAACAAACGCCGCAGGACCTGGTAACCTACCCATATCAGGGGATACCAGTTCCAAGAAAAGCTTCGAAAAGAAATTATCGGTACTCAACCCGAAAGTGAAGATAGCCTTGAGGACATCTAGGATCGTTCCAATAATTATCGCGACCTCCTCCCAGAACTCAGCGCACCCGTTCTTCCCGGATGATGGGCCATATTGTGAGAACACCGGATCTGACGCCTTTACTTCGATGGTTACCTTTCCATCCTTATCCTTCGTCTGAGTGAGTGTTATTTCGGCGGACCATTCTATTCTAGTGCTTGCCCACGCTACCGCCTCGCATATAATGTTCTTTCTAGCGGTTTTTTCGAATGAAATTTCCCCAGAGAATCTGATAGTTATACAAGATTCCGAGGTGTTAAATGCGCTGACAGAGTACTTGTTGGTGTATTGATCATCCCCCGCCTCAACCTTGGCGATCTGGAAGGATACATTTCCACCAATGCCGGATTTTGCGTCTTCGTATTTTGGGGTGGGAGGGATTTTGAGGTCAGTGTCCTTAAATCTCTCCGAAAACTTGGTGCTAAAGGACTCATAGAATGGATAGAGGATCAATGATTCATAGAACGAAAACGAAGAATAAATCATTTTCCCGTCACACTGCTCCTGGGGTTGGATCCAGTTAGAATCGAAATTCCCTGGTGTAGGGTGAGTGCCAATACCCAGGTATTTCTTCGTAGACCCCTCGGTATTCAGGACGAAGTTGATTGTACTTCGATCTTGATCTGTCGGATCGAAATATAAACTGAACGTTTGGCCGATGGGCTTGAGGCTGGGCGGGACATTTTTATCCGGATCCGATTGACTTCTATTGTCTGAAATGGTGTACCCCAGAATGAATGGATTCGACTTGGGATGAGCTTTGAAGTACTTAAGATAGCTCGTCATAACGAACACAAAACCCTGCTTAGCTGCCTCAGTAGCTTTGTTGACATTGGTGTGGATGGGGTTGAAGTTGACCAGGTCGGTGGATTCAAAATTCACAAACATCTGAGCCACAGAGAATCCTTCCGATACAAACTTGGTGAGTTTATCGGCGACAATTTCTGGAACAGCCTTGCCAGCTTGGAGATCAGAGCGTCCGATACCAGCAAAATCAAGCGAGATGCTGATACCATACTGCCAACCGGCCATGTCCCACTCCTTAAGCCTACCACTGTTCATGTCTCGAAGCCAGGCAGAGCCTCGGTCGAAATGAAGGACCAGGACAATATCCGTACCGCTATGATCAATAAGAACGCTAGGCATGTAGTTTCCATTGATGAGAGGATCTTGGGGTTTCCCAGAAGAATCCTTAGGAACGTCTTTGTAGTTGTCGTAAAACTTAGGAATTGACGAGTCCGAAAACTCGTCATATTCCATGCTCAGAATAAAGCTTGGGAAATCGTATGGTTAGCACAACTTCGTATATATATGCCTGTAAAATGCGTAGCTTGTACCTCGTCTTGATAGTAGCAATATCAGGGTGTGCCAAGTGAATAAGTTGATCATTCACGGACTTCTGAGTAACAGAAACGACCATGTCGTATCCGGAACTAGTAAATACATCGGAGTTCTTCATCTTCAAAGAGTGGTGAAATTCCAAACGGCAAACTGTACTTGGGATCAAAAGAGAGCGAACCAGTAGCTAAATTTCAAATCTGTTCAACTGTACTTGAGTGTTGCAGAAGTAAGAGTGTCCAAGGAGAAGGAGTGAACGAGACGTCTATCAGATTTATAAGGACGCCGAGCTACCTTTTGGGCCTCCTCGAAACTGCCATATTTCCCTGCCGGCCTCTGTATTGCTTGATAGCGAACCGCGGGAAAATTCAGATATTGCAGATGGGGTTGTCTCTTGGCTTCCTGGTCAGGGTAGTAGTTGATTGGAAGGGTCATCGTGAATCGAAAGAAAGACACGATTTTACCTTATCAAAGACGAGGCCGGCGACCTCGGCCATGACCGCGGTGATGTTAGCCATGATCTCAACCAGTCGGCAACACTCGAGGGTGCTGATCAGCTATAATGAGAAAGGACGGGCAGCGAAAGCCGTAGCTGAGCGGCTGCAGAATTAATAAACCATGCATGTATGCACGATGCCAGAGCTGGGGTCCTACGGTGCGCCGAACCAAATCCGAAAAGACAGCGGAGAGCTTTCAGCTGGTCCAGTTTTCACAATGGCCTGCATTCCGGTCAGTAACTCCGGTTAGCAACCACTTATAATCAAGGTCACCCGCATAGGAGGATCGATAGGTGTCCGGCACTTGGAATAGTCAAAGGACTAGTTAGCTACTGGATTAAGACTTCTCTTCAACTTCCCTACGCGAAGATTGTCTCAATTTCTCAGGTACTTGCTCATCGCTGATTTGATAGGTATTGGAAAGGTGAGACGTGCCGCAAGCTATGACTCCAAAAGCAAGCCCTTCAGCTCACCCAAATCGAGAATCATGCAGGCTATCTAGCTATGTACTTTTATTCCGAATGGCTACGCGTGCACTGAATCATCCTAGCTGAAAACAAGAGGATGTGCAGCTTGCAGAATGCCGGTGGAGTCTACTATATAGACCATGACCACAGGAGACTTGCTACAACCACGAAGTCGTAAATGGCGCTTACTACTAATTCTTGCACAAGTAGAATGCGCCGGGCTAGCACGCGCCGTATTGTCGGGGGCTACCAAATAAATCAGAAGAAACGCATATAAAACATGATCTCTAAGCTCTCCATACCTAGGTATATGCCCTAAGTTTACGAAGGGTTACTAGCTGCGTTACCCGTTCGCGCAGGCGCTTACGGGGGGAGTGCCTAGCTTCAAGAGTGCCTTTTTCATACGCCACATATAAGTCTGGCCTCTGATTGGCTAGCCACACCTCAGCGCACGTCCGATGAATTTTTTATAAAATCAATTAACCTACTATAATATTGTATAAAAATTCTAATAATTGGTATCGTTGGATAGAGCGCGTTTTGCATGACCTTTCTATCATATTTGCATGTGTTTTAGACTTTATGCGATAGAATGGCAAAGGAAAAAGTCGCCAACTGCGGGGCGATTTTAAGGATCTGATTGGCTGGAAAAATTGTGGCAGTACTAATAAAATA